AGGTCCGGGAAGTTAGCACCGTCATTGGAAGCACTAACGACCGGACCGGTGTCGATCGTTAGCGCTTCGTTAGTGCCTCTTAGTGCTTCATATCTTGCATCAGCGCACAAAGCCGTTTCCAAAATATAGGCACCTTCTCATGCAGTGCTGACTACCCACACTTTTTGAAAGCACTAACGACCGGACCGGTCTCGATCGTTAGTGCTTCGTTAGTGCCTCTTAGTGCTTCATATCTTGCATCAGCACACAAAGCCGTTTCCAAAATATAGGCACCTTCTCATGCAGTGCTGACTACCCACACTTTTTGAAAGCACTAACGACCGGACCGGTGTCGATCGTTAGTGCCTCTTAGTGCTTCATATCTTGCATCAGCGCACAAAGCCGTTTCCAAAATATAGGCACCTTCTCATGCAGTGCTGACTACCCACACTTTTTGAAAGCACTAACGACCGGACCGGTCTCGATCGTTAGTGCTTCGTTAGTGCCTCTTAGTGCTTCATATCTTGCATCAGCGCACAAAGCCGTTTCCAAAATATAGGCACCTTCTCATGCAGTGCTGACTACCCACACTTTTTGAAAGCACTAACGACCGGACCGGTGTCGATCGTTTTGTGCTTCGTTAGTGTTTCTTAGTGCTCCATATCTTGCATAATCGTATAAAGCCGTTCCAAAATATAGGCACCATCTGATGCAGTGCTGATGACCCTCACTCAGCTGTTTGGACCTATAGTGCTAACATTTTTGCTGGGGTTAATGATAAAATTTCTTTACCATGGTTTTTGAAAATAAATATTATTATAATTTATTAAGTACAGATTTCTTCTATCCAAAGAGAAACTTCAGCACATTTGGATACACCATTCGCGAAATTAACTAATCAGAAGTGGTGTACATAGACAGAAACATGGCCCTAGTCCGGCGGATATCTACTGAAGAAAGTATGTTCAATAAACGACGAATAATAATCTTTGATTTTCACACAATGTTCGTTTTGGCAGCAGTGATGCAAATTCCAATGGAACAGCAAGAATACGAGCACTAAGTTCCTGGATGAATGGTAGGGACAACTATAGGTCTATAATTTACGACTAATTAATATTAGAATGGGGGTTTTATTTGAACAAATATAGATAATAAAAATTATATTCTTTCACCATAATCAAGAACAAAATATTTTTTTTCGGTTTTAGGCTCGGTTTTAGGTCGATATATGCATAACTTCGTATTTAAGATTTAACATTAGGACATTTAATATTTTAGGCAACTTTTGAAAAAACTTATCCTATTCCATATTAAATTGCATATAGCAATGAATGCGGAGTAAGTGTGGTATTCTTCCTTGCAACAAGTATGTCTTTTTGCAAGTCATCATACCGTTCCCAAACTGCATCTATTCTTCTACAGAAACAAACATAATGACCTATGTTGCATGTTGACGGATCGTTTGGGGCAATGAATGCCACAACAGATCGCAATATCAATCTTTTCCCAAATACGGTAATGGCGAATGGTATATCATCTAGCACAGTGTTTCCACATTCGTTTGCGTCAATAAATACAAATTTAGACACGGATAAGGTATGTGTAATCATTCCATGGCAAATGCATTTACTGCACTAAGAGGCACTAACGAAGCACTAACGATCGAGACCGGTCCGGTCGTTAGTGCTTTCAAAAAGTGTGGGTAGTCAGCACTGCATGAGAAGGTGCCTATATTTTGGAAACGGCTTTGTGCGCTGATGCAAGATATGAAGCACTAAGAGGCACTAACGATCGAGACCGGTCCGGTCGTTAGTGCTTTCAAAAAGTGTGGGTAGTCAGCGCTGCATGAGAAGGTGCCTATATTTTGGAAACGGCTTTGTGCGCTGATGCAAGGTATGAAGAGGCACTAACGAAGCACTAACGATCGAGACCGGTCCGGTCGTTAGTGCTTCCAATGACGGTGCTAACTTCCCGGACCTGCATCGCTCCCAGAATTCACTCGGACGTGAGGCGATCCAATCATAGACCTCGTCCTGCCCCTCTGCGTGCGACATGAAACGGCTACCTTTCAAGTGCTCCAAAAACGTGGAAATCACACAGCGACCCGTTAATTATGGTGGCAATCTCGTCTTCTGTGATGTGTCTATTGGCATTTACAGCCTCATCCACGCAGATCACAAACTAAACACATTTTGAACGAAATTGCAATTGCTTGACTTGATTTTTTTTAATGGAAGTTTGTTTATTGCATTAAATGCAGGATTTCATTACCTACCTTTCTAGCGATATAAACATGTCGGTATTTATGTTGTTGTAATTCAATAATCTCCTCGATAATCTCTAATAATTCACAATGTTTATCGATTTTCACAGCCTCTCAGTAATTAGTAGGCCGTGAAAAATTATAAACGCCAATCCAAATTATAAATATATTGTTTCACTACATAATGTTGTTATTAAGTAGCAATGTAAGAATTTTTTGTTAA